ATGGGATCTTAGGTGAAGACTACAACAATAGAATTAAACCGAGTATAGTTCTATCTAACAAGACTTAAACTCTTTTCCACCCCACCCCACCCTCTCCCCTCATCTGATATGGTTTGGCGTTTCTTTAACATGATAGAAAATATTCATCATTATTGTTGTTGAGTATTGATTTCATATTCTAATGGAGCCTCTAGATATCTACATGTAGGCAACAGTAGCATCTAATTTGCACTCACAATGGAAAACAATATCTTTAATTAAAATGTATAATATGTAGGCCTATATACACACTCACACATAATAATTAAATATATACACATAATAATTATATATATTTATGAATAAGAATACTTTTAAAAAAATGAGTGTCTCGGTCTTTCTGTTGGGGTGTTGTATCCCTTTCAGCCTGGGTTGGCCTTGGCAGGTAGCGCCGGAGCCAGCCTCTTATGAATATTAATTATCTAAATTGTGTTGCTGGGGGCATAAAAACACTTTCATTCAAATTTTTAAAAAGGAAAACAACTTAACTGTGAAAACTTCGGTCCACTGCAGCATCATATCGGTTCTTACCTAGACGATCAGAGAACGTATAGGTTCTTACACTTAAATATAACACAGGTGCAAGGCATTTTTACTAATTGACTTGCCTAATCTCAAGGACCTGGGAATAAAACCTTCTTTCTTATCTAGATTTCAGTGCGTGAGTCGGGCATTCGCGCAGCGCAGGTAGCCCACAGTTCCGCCGCGAGAGTGGGCTCCTATCAGGCGTGCGGTGCCGCCCACAGAGCATCCTCCATTACTTTTAATCTCCTTGGGCCTACCATAAATAATCAGCGACGTTTCTATATTGAGAGGCCCGTGGGGCCGAAGGGGGCGGGAGGTGGGATAAATGTGTTATTCTTAGGTGATGTATTTGATTTTAAAATATGAGTTTTTGAAAATTATAGAGCATCCCAATCTATGTATGGAGTCCATGATTTTTAGAATTGTGTTTAATATCAGGCTCACCCTTTCGAAAACGTAATTTTCATACTAAGAAGCGTTGTTTATATCCCAATAAGAACCCCATGAAAGGGAAACCACCGTTGTTCCCGGAAAATCCGTCATAGGCAAGCGAGTCATGTATACAGTCCCTCCGTCATAGTCAGTCATCATCACAATCACAATGGTCACAACAACTGACAACACACTCCCCTGGACTCCGTTACATCAGCATAGATTGAGTTAAGAGGACTGGCAGTGCACTCAATTAACACACTTTTGATTATAAATAGATAATGGATACCCGGGAAATCATCTTATCTTGCTGAGACTGAGATATTGTTCGATTGTTCCAGGATTCCGTGACCGTGTTAGAATCTGTGGACTGTGTACCACACTGGTTCAGAATTCAGGAAAAAGCAATATTAAAAGTGAGTTTGAGGTTTGAGTCTGTAAGTAAGTAAATTCTTATTCTTTAGAATCTAGATTAGATTCTAGATCTAGAATCTAGATGTAGATCTAGATCTAGATCTAGAATCTAGTCTGTCTTTAACTTCTACACAACACAGAGTAAATATATAATCTAAACCCCTCGTCTCAGAAAGGGATTATTTTGTAGCTTTTAAAGTTTTTTTTAGGGCCCTGTGTAAGACGGAGTGGCAAGCGAGCCAGAAAAAAAGCTCTGTCTTGAACATTTTCCATCTTGGGCTGAAAATATACTGCCACGCACTACCAAAGTGCGCAGCGAAACAGATTGATTTATAAGCCCATCTTTTTGGGTCCTCACGACTCCTCACGTCTAGATTCTAGTCGTGTCAGTGAATCACCAATAGGAAAAATAAAGAGGAGGGCACGACTTCTTTCGCGGCGCACTTCAGTTGTGCATAGCAATATATTTAGCCTTAGACAGGGGAATTTAGTTTTGGAGATTTTATGGAACGAAGTGTATACAGACCCGGTAACTGGGAACAAACTCACGAAGTATACAGACCCGGTAAGGGAACTCTTTTGTGATTTCGGAAAGTTTCAGCGCCCAGACCCGATAGTGTGTGTGCGTGTGTGTGTGTGTGTGTGTGTGTGTGTGTGTGTGTGTGTGTGTGTGTGTGAGAGAGAGAGAGAGAGAGCAGGGGGAAGTGCTAGCAAAATGTATGACATGCCCCAGTTGGCAGGAAGGAACGAGAGAGATGTATAGACGTCTAGTGGGAAATAAGTGGGGAGAAAAAAAGACAGAGACAAACAAAGAAAAAGAGAATGCGAGCTACAGAGCGAGAGAGAAATAGAGAGGATGACTGCTCGAGAGAAATTATGACATTGTTCTTTTCTTCTAATTGTAATTCCTCCAACTCCAAAACGGAGGAAAAACGATCGTTCATCGAAAAGACATCTGCAATCTTCATTTAGAGATCTAGATCTAGATAGATCTAGGCAAGCCTCGAAACTAGACCAAGGATTTATGTCTGTCTGTCTAGATCTAAATCTAGACCTAGCCTAGGCCATAGATCTACCAGAAGAACCTAGGTCTACCCTGAGCCAAGAGGGCGCTGAAACTTTCCGAAATCACAAAAGAGTTCCCCTACCGGGTCTGTATACTTTGTGACTTTGTTCCCGGTTACCGGGTCTGTATACACTCCCTTTATGGAAAGGTAGTGTCAATTGCCACCGAGTGACGCGGTGGCAATTGACAAAAATTGACTTTTTGTCAATTGCCACTGAGTAAATTGGAGCTCTTTTGCGTTGGTGTGTAGATCTAGCTTATTGTGCTCGAGTGCTCGGTGTTGTGCGTTCGCTTCTCTGTCCGTCTCTCTGTGTGTGTTTGTGTGTGTGTGTGATTGTGTGTGTGTGTGTGTTTTCCTGACCCCCGTCCCCCGATTTATGTTCCCCATATAACGTGAATTTCTGCTTGAGTTTGTGTACGTTTGTGACCTTCTACTTCTAGAGTTGCCTGTGTTGGTTCTACACCAAAGTGTAGGCTAAGGCTAGCCTAGATCTAATAAGTCTCATTGAAAACACGCCAAGTTGGTACCGTAGCTCTAGACTAGATGCTCGTCCAATGAAATTAGTTGAGAACAAATTGACCCATTAGACACACATTATGTATAATGCTAAAGATATTGTTGTTTTCAGACTTGACACCGCTTCACTCGGTGGCAATTGACGCTACCTTATGGAAAGGGGGGGGGGGGTGTCAAAGGCCCGGCCGGTGGGATCAAGGATCCCTTCTCCGATCGGCAAGCAGTGGTCAAAACTTCGCATCTCTCAACTGCCATCCTGTGTGATAATGACATGCGCAGTCTTTTCCAATTACCACCAGTGCTTGCTTTTCATAGTACCACTTTGACCATCTCCTTTGCTTCCACTCTTAGCCCCACCCACTGGTGTAACAGCGCAGTCAACCAATGCCACCCCTCTCTGCCATCATTTAACAACAATTCGAGGAACTCTTTTCTCGGCTGGCAGTACTATCTGTTCGACAGGCATTGGTCAATCTAATTTCACACCTCTGGCTTTTGGCTACCAAGGGAAGTTTCCGTAGTGACTCGCTACTCGAGCACTCTCGTGGGGAGTCGTGAGATTTCACACCCACTCTACCCTGACCATCTGCATCACTCAAGGTTTACATGATGGGGTAACATCTTCCCCCAAATTGCACCCCTACTCCCCTTCCTCACCCACAGCGGCATGGCCATGGCGTTCAGTTTAGAGCCGGCGGACCAAACTTTCCGTCTTAGACAGGTGAAAACCTCGGAAGGGAGCGGATTTTTCTTTCCGTTTCCGCGTTGAACAGGTTTCCATTTTAAATATGGAAAATGGAAAGGAATATATCAAGGGGGGAACAGGGAGATTCTGTTAAAAGACAGGTTTCCGTTTTATACAGAGGTTTCCATTGAGGCAGGTTCGACTGTTAGTATAACCTATAATGTTATGACAGAGAAATAAAATGTGCACACAGTACAGGACCTAACAGATTCATGTAATATAGCCTGTTGTAGTAATAATTTAGTAATGATGACAATAAAAGTAAAAGGCACAAAGTGAAATTTGTTAGACAGGTCTATAATATATATCCTGAAAGACTGCCAGCACACAAGTTAAACTCAAAGTGACAAGTGTTAGACAGGTCTATTTTTATCCTGAAAGACCGCTGGCACACAAATTAGTAGGACGATAACAACATGAAGATAAACAGGAACATTTGCAATAAATGTACAGTGGGACTCGGATTCAACAAGAAATCGGATTCAACGAGATGAGATCTAGATCCCTGTTTTTTTTCTTCTTTAAAATCAATAAAAATAAACCGGATTCAGCGAGCATTTAAATCTGCGAGCTCGGATTCAACGAGGTCGCTCCCAGGGTGAACAGCCCCAGCAGACATGGCTTCGCTCATTTTTCTTCCAGAACGAACTTTATCTATTCCCGGAAAGCATCCATTGCACCTGCATTGTGACCCACTATTCACTTCGAGCCGATTGCTTGCGACCAGTCAGCGGCCTTATTTCATACCAACACACTTGCTTTGTTGGCACGCGCACGTGTCTACTCTGGTGTGTGTACGGGTCGGTTGGGCGGCCTGCATACATTACATGTGGCTGTGTGTGCGTGTCAGGGAGGGGGGGGGAGAGCGCACTAGCGGTCTGGATGTTGAACATCGCAGGTACAAAACGCGTTACAGTCTTTCTTTTCCCCCCTCGGCAACTGATCATTATTACAATGATAAGCTAGTATTGACTTTGGTCTGCATAATGAATTGTGCGCTGGTCTATGGAATCAAAAGTTGCCGTATGCTAGGCTCTTCTCTCTTAACAGCAACACAACTTTTTGGTTAACAATCGAGATGACATTGTGTATTTGAAGGAAACGGTCTTTTTTTTTACAGCTCATAATATGCAGGCATTTCAGGCACTACTTGTGACTTCTCTCTACAGAACTTGCTCAGTGCCTGACTGTAATTATCTACGCAAAACCGTGTTTGCTATACGAACACTGGGAATCAATGAGGTTTTAGGTCAGGCCCGCTGACCTCGTTGAATCCGAGTTCCGCTCAGGCGCGGTTCGTCCATAGAGCAAGGTCGTGCAGTGCCGCCCCAAATTTTTTAATGTTCTATTACGTAAAACACCCACAATAATAAAATTAAAAAAGCCAGAACAAACTCTAGCCTAATATTATATTAAAACAAGGTTCTCACTGGCACCATAACTGTCATTTTTGTGTCTATAGCGCCGTAAAACATCTACACTATGCATATTCAACAGTGTAACCTGACCTATAAATCGCTCTCGGGATAGCCCAAGCGATGAAGACACTCGTAGCGAGTTTGGTGGTACCTTAATATAATAAGACGGCACATCACAAATGTGCTCCTGCCGAGCAGTGCCGAAACATAGCCCACAGTAGGCAGTCTAAAAATAAACGCGATAGACCCTACGCTGTTCTTTGCCAATATTATGTGACCCCCGGAGCAATCCAGCGGAATGCTCAAGTGAATTGTGATTGGTTCATTGTCTGTCTTGCCACTATTTTAAGTGACTTTGTGACCGTGAACCTGAGGGAGGTGAACGTGACCATCCTATGAGATGTGCCTTTGAATGGTTTTGTAGTGGAGTAGTGAAAGTTATTGCTTGAATGTTCAGTTCCAATATATCTACAGGAAGAACGAAATTGATGTTTAGCTAACAAACAAATTTATTACCAGAAATCAAAGTGACAAGTAAAAAGAATGAAAATAAAAGCAAGAGGTCCTCCCTCACCAACCCAAAGATCCTAAAATTATACACCATCTCATTTACTATGCCCTTGACTATCTTCAGCATGCGATAGCTTAATTGTGCATGTCCACTTTTTAGCCCCACGAGCCGGCCCTGGTTCCACTTGTTTGGTAAGTGTTTTTACGGCGCTCGCAACTGCATAAGGTCATATGAGCACGCGGGACACACCTAATATTTTCAGTTGGTAGGAAATTTTGAATTTTGCAGAGTACTTTTACACAACAAAATGTATCATTATTTTGCTCACTGAAGAAATGTAGGAGACTCTTCTTTATGATATTGATACTATTGGACTCAAATTGCCAATGCACTGTTATTGAGATTAAATCAATATCTTTGAGAGCTATATATCTTGATCTAGAATCTAGATCTAGATCTAAATTGTCAAAATTTTTTAAATCTCCAAAATCACTACTTTTTAGTGAAATAACTCATATAGGTTTATTCCAAATGCAATTCTGAATAATTATAATTTCATAGATATTATATGTGTTTTTGTTCTTTTTGTGATAGTTTTTTCATGATTATAATTTTTTAAAAATAAATTTTTTCAACTTCCGATGTTATGATCCAAATATACAAATATTATGGAATGTATGTAAATAATTGCACATTTTGCAATATTTTCCAGTTCTGTATTCATTTAAGGTTATTTTGATGTATC